TACATAAAATTTTTAACATTCCAAAACATATCGATTTAAATCGATATTCATATACATATAATAAACATACACAAGAATTAACTATTGAAATGCCTTATATACAAACAATATCAACTAATACTGAAAATCGAAATGATTCATCATTTATTTCACCTATACGTAATACAATGGAATCATCAAGTTATTCCTATGGAAATGTTAATAGAAATATTAGTGAAAACATGTTACCAACAGTTTCGAATCGTTCGAATTATTATTCTGATAGTAACAATACAAGTGGTATCGGAACAATAACACCTGATACAACATTAATGCAAAGTTCAAATGCAACTGTTGCACCAATTTATGAATCAACAATTGGAAGTATAAAACCATTTGATTTTGATTTATTTCATCGATCGGCTTTTCGACCACAAATTGTTCCAGTAACATCCGATAATACGAATAATGATAAAAAATTACTAATGTCTTTAGATTTAAGTGATTATCAAGCTGAAGATATCAAAGTATCTGTTAAAGAATGTGAATTAATTGTTAAAGCTGAAAGAAAAATTGAAACTGATACACGTAAATCTCGTACATCATTTTTTCAATCAACTAGTTTACCACCACAAACCGATATTGAACATCTTCAATCAAATTATATTGATGGAAAATTAATTATTGAAGCTCCTTATATTGATCAAAATAATAGTGAACGAAGAATTACTAATACTAGCAGCAGTAATAACACGAATCAAAGAACGAATTGGTAAGATATATCGTACATTCTAATAACACACACAATTAATACAAAATTAACATCATTACACTTGTCTCATAATAATAATCTCTCTTGCTTTTCGTTATATGATTTACGCATGTTTTATATCATATCTGATTTTGAACTGTATTCATAAATATCTGTATCTTTCATATATTACTTTTTATTGATTAACTTGTGTGTGGGTATGTGTGTATGTATAGATTTGTTATTGATGCTTTAATTTAACCATGAATTTTAAGCCTATATTAGTTCTATGCTAGATAAAATATTTGTGCTTTTAAATAGAATAAAAAGAAGAATAGAATAACATATTCCATTTTAATTTCATCTATTCAATTCCAAGGCTTGTATTCTTTTCATCTCAAGGATTAACTCTTGCACATCTGCTTCTTGTTTTATATTTTTATAAGAAAAAAAAAGGAAGCGATTAACTTCAAGATATGATTTCTTTCTTCATCTTAGTATAAAAAAAGAGCTTCTTTCATATATATATATATATATTCAATCCTTTGGCAAATAAATATGTATATATACGTATTGACGTGTTAATGATGACGATAGGTGTTCATGAAAGCTTCTTTCAGACTTAATTCCGCTTTTTTTTTCGCTCTTGTCCTTCGTTATTTTATTATGCATATATGTGTATATTCAATATTTTAGGCAAACAGTAACTGAATCACAACAAAAGACCACCGACGACGATCCATTTCAAAAACGAACAGAGACCTTTACAGAACTTTTACGTCTTCGTCCATTTTGATCTTATTTTCCAACGTGATGTGCAATCAATCATATCAAACGTTTATGTGTGTCGAATGATAAGCAGAAAAAGAAAGAAACAAATGATCTATCTACATATGTTTCTTTATTCATCTCTTTGCACACATACAGCTGAATTCTGATGACTGTTATTTTTATTCTCACTCCCTCTTGCTTCCAGAAAATATCCGATCCACACATTGTCACATGGAAAAAACCTAAGCACAAATGCACATCAATAAACATTTACGATTATAGATATATATATATATATATATATATCTCAATCACTCTAAGATTTAGTCTAAATAAACATTTTTATTACCATTGGTAAACGAATCATATATAATTTAGGTTGATTGTCATAAATAAATGGATGCATTTTGTCCGACCATAGTTACTTGAGCTGTACTTAGTTTATTTATAGTGATGGAATACGTTGTCACTATAATGTATATAAATGATAATATGGAAATTATTTGTTTGCTTTTTTGAAGATCATTGTATTTGATACTGATCATAGAGACGAGTTAGACTTTGAAATTAATCAAATATATTCGATATATTGGTCAGAATTTTCAACATTCGTAGTTTCTAACAATTTTTTAATTAGTAATTATTCATATAACAATGATTACTCTTAGAAATGCTCTATAAAATATTTTTTGATAAAAAAAAAAAAAACTTCTATTTTGCATATATTTTTTCAATCAATGCTCAGATTCAAATATGTCAATTCAATATGAAATTAACGCCAAAAAAAAAGAAACCTGTTTGAATGCATATCGTAAATATTTAACAGAAGTATGTGCAACCAATAGGTGTTCTTTATTACTATAATTGATTCAAAGAGTATTAAAATAATTTGTAAAAAATCGATCAACCACATATGTTGGTTATAATTTATTTACCTGAAGGACAAAGAAAAAAGTTCTTTTTTGCTCGCTTAGAATTTTAATTCTCTTCAAACTTTATTACTTTTCTTTTTATATTAAACTTTACCTTTGTTTTTTTTATCTTAACCTTGTAATAAAAGTAATCTAGTAAAAATAAATGTAAGAAAAAAAAACAAAATAAGACTATTTTTATAGTTGATTGAAGACAAACGAACTATCATTATTTGTTTTTGCTTTGTCTTTTATCGATAAATTTTTCAAAAGAAACAAGTTGAATTATATGGAAAAAAATAACCTATATTCATTTTTGTTTGATTAAAGTGTAAGATATATTTCTATACTGTCTTAAAAAGGTTTCATTTCACATATTTATTGTAT